TCGCCTATGTACGTCAATGGGCATTTTGTACAGTATATTTCATATATTCCTGCTTCTTTTGTTGTTGCGATTCGTTTGATATTAACTATATTCTCTTATTGTTCTAGATACTGATATTTATGAATTTTAAGTTGTTTTCGATGGTGGTTGTTATGTATAGGTTGGATTATATGTTTAATCTTGTTATGGTTGTCGGGATTATTAAAACAATAAAACAAAATCCGAAATGATCATTGGCTTTTATTTAAGTCTCCTGAGCATTTATAGCCCCCAATTTCTACCTTGAAAAGCGAAATACATCGAACATCGAAGACACTTTTCGTTTCCTCCGGTACCCGAATTATTTCCTGCGCAATGCTAAACGAAAAGACTACAAAATACATAGTGAAACAATACTAAATCTCACAATTAATAATAAATTGTGGTATGTCTGAACATATGTGTAGATTCATAGACGTGCAAGAAACCACAATGAGGTACCGAGTGGGAAAGAACACGAGAACAAGAAACATTATTAAGCAGGTAGAACAATGGAAGAACAGTGATTAAGAAGACAGAAGATAAGGTTTAACTTTGCTAACCGTCTTATCTAAAACCTGGAAAAAACTCAATTAGTTTAGTGCTTTTTTAGATATTAAACATTTTGTTGGATGGTTAATTATATTTGAAAATTATATTAGATTTGGATTTCACTGTTACCCACGATGTATATATATATATATATATATATATATATATAACCATTGTGGCGTCTGTGTTATGGGCAGAATTCCTCATTTACTAGTCTACGGTAACATTTCATATGTAACGCTTTTTCGGGACGAGGCCGTACATATGCATGATGGAGTCTCCCATCCTCTTCGACGCCTGACGCATGGCATATTCATATTCTCAAATAGATATGACGCGAATGCTATCTCTCTCTCTCCCCTCTCTCTCTCTCTCTCTCTCTCTCTATCTATCTATCTATCTATCTATCTATCTAAGACTGTTCCTTATCTATCTATCTATCTATCTCAGTCTGTTCTTTATCTATCTATCTATCTATCTATCTATCTATCTATCTATCTATATATATATATATATATATATATATATATATATATATATATAAGTGCGCAGGTATGCAGAAAATAAAAAAACACGTTGGGTGCATAATCCGGGGTTCCTTAGTATTTTTGTTTTTATTTTTAAGAAGACAGTGCTTCATACAGAAGTAGAGCTTTATTATAATAATTTTTTTTTTGTTTAAAATATGATTCTTCGCTAAATAAGAGTTCTCATATTTCAAAATGAGACCGTAAACCATCAAAATAATTATTAAAATTGAAATTTATTAAAATTAAAATTAATTCAACTTAATTTTACTAATTATTTGATGGTTTCGGCTCTCGTTTTTGAAACATGAGAACCCTTATGTAGCGAAGGAATCATATTTTTAAACAACAAATATATATATATATATATATATATATATATATATATATATATATATATAAGAATGTTCCTTATTTATCTATCTATCTATCTATCTCAGTCTGTTCTTTATATATCTATCCCAGTTTATTCTTTATCTATCTATCTATCTATCTATCTATCTATCTATCTATCTATCTATCTATGTCTTTACATAGCTACCTATATCTGTCTCTGCAAAGATTTCTCTGTCTCTAGCTGTCTATGCATATCTTTTTATGTAAGTCTCCACATTTCTATCTATCTATCTATCTATCTATAAATTCTGATGACTTGATGTTGAGTAGTGGTCCGGTCGAATATAAATATGGCAGTATTTATCAATCAATCTTAAAATGCAAATGATGCAATAACCGTCACAAGGTCTGCTCATGATATCGTACGATTCGTAACGTTCGAGTATCACAAGGCACATGAAAGCGATTTTCTTCCTTATTCTCAAGATACCCTACTTTTGGAGGCCGAGAACCAGACGTACCCTGATCGTCTTAAATATCTACCAACATCTTCAGGACACACGCGCACTGTTGGCTGCTGAGTGAGTCGATCAAACTGCCAACAATCTTGTCTTTGTAGAAGAAGTGACACAGCTTAAGTGGAAAAAAAAGTTGTTCATTCAAGCGACTTTATTTTTAAGTCAAAATATGACGTCAGATCCTTCCCTTTTAACTGATACCATCAACTATTTTTTATTCACTAAATTCTAATGCGTAATTGGTATAGGGGTGTAGGCGAACCCCCCTCCCCACTACTCCGCCTTCTACCTCTCCCATCTACGACACTTCGAGCCGCGCAAATTAAATGCCTACAAGATCTAAGGGTCAAGGGTTCAGAGATAGGATTGCTTCTGCAAAACTGAAGCCAATGCAAAGCTTTCACAAGTTCTTTGATATTTCTGCATTGCAGCATAACTGCAACTGGACTATAATAAAAGTCTACGACTTTAAATCTAAAAAAAGGTTAACCGTCGTGTATATGACAATAAACTACACCAGCCATAAGGCATCTGATCGGGACGAATTGA